CATCAATAAATACAGATTACAATACATACCTTTCTATTTACTGAATAAGACATCGTAACCTTCATCAGTACAGTATTCTTTTTGTTGCGATAGTCTCAGCAAAAAAACTTGAAAGATGCCGTGGTGTTTGAAGTTGCATGAGTGAGTGAGCCAGTGAGTTAAATGTATTCCTGCGTCAGTAGTCATGGGAAGTTTACTGTAAAGGGAACTGGGGTATAGAGTGTCATCATTATCTGTTAGGTTTGAGGATTTGTGTGTGTGTGTGTGTGTGTGTGTGTGTGTGTGTCAAAAGATAAATTGAGACCAAGAGACACAAAGAGAAAGAAATAAAGTGTTAATTTGTCTCATTATAAAAAAAAACCCAGACACTAATGTATCAGTTGGTTGTTAAGTCTCCTTATACTGCACAACAGGTCGTAACATTATCCTTCCATCGTAAGTCGTAACACTGGTGAGCGCAGGGCCGTATGGAGCTAACATACTGTACGGGAGGTGTGGGGTCTGAGTGGCTTCATGAGGGGCCGGAAAGCGACATAACTTACCAGGGGACAATAACCTCGTGAATACTAATGTCCGGAAATAAGAGAATTCAGTGGAACACGGCTCCCTTACACCGACAACAACAACACTCATAAACTTGGTGTTAATCTGGTCCCAGGTTCTCACCTCCTCATTAAGATATCAATTATCATAAAGTACCACCGGGATGACCCTCAGTAATTAGCAGGTGTGTCTCTATACTGAGGTACAAATTCAGGTGTTTTAAAGGAAAAGAAACAGGTCAAGAGATAGAAAATAATAATGAGACTGAAAATCCATATAGAGTTAATTGTATTTTGTCCGGTGTGCCGATGGTCGCTGTGGATGGTAACACAAATGACGCGGTGTGTGAGTGAACAGCCCACACTGCAAATCGTCCAATACTTTCCAATTTTACTTGTGAATCTGTAGCATCGATACACCCGTGCAGGGAATCACTTGAATGAAGAGTGAAATAGGGAGTTTGCGTGCTAGTGTTGTGTGCGTGCGAGGGTGAGGGGGGGGGGTGGCCCCATGGGATCCCCGTGGCCAGCATGACCCGGGTTGGCCAGCCACCGTGGGGCGGGGGAGGGCAGGGGTGGCGGACCAGGAGAAACCGTTCAATAAGCGGCGGGAACCACCTGATGCATGTAATAGCGGCCGCCTGTATATCTCGGGTGTTTTCGCGGCAACAAAAAGCCTGTGTGGAGCCGTGTGTGGTGGCGATGACCACTTGGGCGGCCCCGGCGCTCCTCATTACCCAGCCATCAGCCTGGGAATGTTGCTTATCGCGCCCCAGTGGCTCGTGCCGCCCTCGTCCTGGCCCGGCCCTGTGATGCTGCCCCGGCATTACTGGCCGCTCTCCTGCTCCCATGTCCACCATATTCCTCACTATTGTGTCTACCTCTTCCCTCTCCTCTCGCCTCTATCTTCATATGCATATGCATATATATATATATATATATATATATATATATATATATATATATATATATATATATATATATATATATATATATATATATATATATATTTTTCTTTTGAGGGGTATATTTTTTGTATAACGTGATGAAAATCCACAATTTACCAGGGCCATGTAGCTCACGTCACCACTACTAGGCCTACTACTACTACTACTAATAATAATAATACAACTATCATCACCATCATCACTATCCCGGAAAGAAAACGTAACTATAAACAAGTTAATCTGTGATGTGATGATTTCCTTCCCTCACGTCTTACTGATACCAGCAGCTCCCGACCTTGCCCCTGTCCTTGTCCTTGTTAGATAAAGTCTTGAAGGATACAATGTGCCTGTGTGTGTGTGTCAGATCCTTCCCCCGTAAAACTGGAGCCATTTTTTAAGGTGCTTCCTCATTGGTCCACGCTGTGTGACGTCACTTGAGATTGTAGACATTGGCGCGTCTCTTAAGTTACGATAGGTTAGGTTTGGTTAGGTTTGGTTAGGTTAGGTTAGGTTTGGTTAGGTTTGGTTAGGTTAGGTTTGGTTAGGTTTGGTTAGGTTAGGTTAGGTAGTATTTCCACCCAAGTGATATTTCCACCAGTAATACTTGAACCAGTAATATTTCCATGATCAATACAGTAATCAGTAATATTTCCCATTTACTCTAAAACATTTGGAAATTTATTAGTGAACATACGAAGAAAAAATTATCTCAGTGAACGAGTGAGTGAGTCCGTCAGTCAAGATTGGCATTCAGAGAGCTACCTGACGCAACCCAGAATGAAGACTCATGAATAAAAATTGATTAAATTATGGTAAATATCTTCCTGTTTCTTTGTCTGTCTGTCTATCTGTCTGTCTGTCTGTCTGTCAATCTATACTACAGGAAAAGACACACAAACACACACACCTGTAATTACCTTTCACGTTAATTACCCTAATATCTAAATGAGTCAAATTAAGGTATGTCAGCTTTTTGGTAATGCTAATCACACTGGCACTGATCCCCGGCTACATCACACAGAAAGAGTCATTGATTAAATTACCGTCATTTACCTTCATTAAAAGTCTCTAAATAGATTAAATGACCACAGATGAATGGGTCAATTAATATAAATGACCACGGATGAATGTGGTCAATTAATACACTTTATACGCCTAATCTATGTCAATAATTTATTACATGTTCTCAATGTCCACCGTGAGAGTTCAGTGTACAGTATACTCAGTGTATGTTCAGTGTATACTCAGGAGTTCATTTTATTAATCAGTATACCTTTTAGTTTTGGGTTATTTAAATGGCAAATAATTGAATCACCTGAAGATTAGGTACCCTAGTTTATGTCATCTGATGATTGAACACCTTAGAGCTAACCTAACCTAACCTAACCTAACCTAACCTAACCTAAACTAACCTAACTGGAGTGTCTAATCTTCAGGTAATCCAAATAACTTCTTAGCTTACATTACTACGTTAAATAAATGTCCTTAAGCGCGTGTGTGTTAGTCATCAACAACTGGGTTTAATTTCGTTTACTTGTGTTAAGCTGGGTTTAATTTCGTTTACTTGTGTTAAGCTGGGTTTAATTTCGTTTCCTTGTGTTAAGCTGGGTTTAATTTCGTTTCCTTGTGTTAAGCTGGGTTTAATTTCGTTTACTTGTGTTAAGCTGGGTTTAATTTCGTTTCTTTGTGTTAAGCTGGGTTTAATTTCGTTTACTTGTGTTAAGCTGGGTTTAATTTCGTTTCCTTGCGTTAAGCTGGGTTGAATTTCGTTTCCTTGTGTTAAGCTGGGTTTAATTTCGTTTCTTTGTGTTAAGCTGGGTTTAATTTCGTTTACTTGTGTTAAGCTGGGTTTAATTTCGTTTCCTTGCGTTAAGCTGGGTTTAATTTCGTTTCCTTGTGTTAAGCTGGGTTTAATTTCGTTTACTTGTGTTAAGCTGGGTTTATCTTTGTTTACCTATGTTAAGCTTAATTTAGCTTCATTTACCTGCGTTAAGAAGCGTTTGACAGCGTAATGAAATCAAATACTCTTCTCAACTCACTATAATCACAGCATCAGTTGGGGCGGTGGGGGGGGGGAATAGGCAAAGGTAAATATAGACTGATTTATCATGATTTATTTAAAGAATTATATGACATAGTAAACAAAAGCATGGAAGAGCACAAGTGATGATGAAACACCGTGGGGGGTGGTGGAGGGCTGTGGGTGGGGGTGGAGGCTGGGGTGGTGGAGGCTGGGGGCAGTGGTGGAGGGCTGGGGGTGGTGGAGGGCTGTGGGTGGGGGGGTGGAGGTGGGAGGGTCAGTTGTGTGAGGCAGAAGGCAGGTTGAACTGTTGCTGCTCCGTGTCTTGTTGTGTCTCCGTTTAGTTCATCCTTCTAACTGGTGATATGAAAACGCATTTAGACTTACGATACAGTAAACACTCCCCCTTACATACTCTGTACTGTATATATATATGATGTCCGTTGAATCGAGAACCGTTAGATTTCAAACTTCCATTTAACGAATTAACAAGAGAGGAGAATCCGTTATGTCGAGGGTCCGTTAGATGTGAAACCTCCAACTAACGGTCTAAATACGTTAAATCGAGTCCGTTAGATGAAAGTTTCAAAGTTAGGTGAACGGACGAGACAAGACGGTAGCTGGGTGTGTTCTCTCATCACCAGTTGAGAAAGAATGATATTAAGCATTAGTATCATATATGTTTGAGGACTCCAGTAACTGTTAACTGTCCGGATGAGAGGAATGGTCAGTCAGTCAGTCAGTTAGTCCAGCGAAGACATTCTACTCCCTGACAAAGTGGGTGATGTTATTGTCCATTTATTCTGAGATTAATGACAGCGAAGTCGTTGGTTATCAAGCATTTAGACATGATAGCAAAAACATGATAGCAACAGCATTGGCTTTCAAACTCTTGATATTGATAAGAGAGTTAAATTATCACCTGTGGCTGTAACTGGACATGAGGCGGGGCGGAGCACAGTGTGTTGATGGATCACCGACCGGGTAAACATTTTAACATACCCACGTAAAGCCTCGGGTCTTATGCTCAACCAAATGAGATGTTAAAACTAACTCTCAACTAATACCATCAAACTTAAATTAGAAACAGAATAAGAAAAAGTAAAAAAATAACATTGATTAACATTTTCCTGCATGGTGGAACTATATATATATAAATATGTACATTAGTAAGTCCCGACCTTCTTTCCCTCGATGTTTATAAGAAGCAACAACCTCCATCTGTGGAAACTTTTACTCATGATCTGTGGTGGTAGAAAAAGATTATGAAGATTTTGTTGTTGTTTTTACTATGAGAAATTGTTTTGGCTATTTTTTTTTTCCTGTGATGATTTGTGGGTTATAAATGCTTAGTGGTGATTGGTTGAGATTGTTCTGTGGTGATTGGTTGAGATTGTTCTGTGGTGATTGGTTGAGATTTCCACATGAATGTTTTTTTTTTTATGATGGAGGATAAGAGAACTGAGGAGAGGAATTGTTGAAGCTCTAGTGTAAAAGCTCATCTTTATTGTTGGTATAGTCTGTGAAGTTTCTCATGATGGAACGGGTGATTAAAAGTTCAAGGTCCTCATCAACACGTGTAAAGAAACATCTACATATTTGGACATAAAAGAGACAAGATATCAATGTCAAGGAACAGCTACATAACCCGATAGTAGGCTGAACTCGTCCTTTTTCCGTGTTAGTTGTTTAAGTTCCTTCATCAGCGCACAACACCCAGACGCTGCACAAGCGATAGTTGAAGTAAGAGGGATCCTGTACACTGCTGGTGATGACGAAGAGAATAAAGAGGACACTGGACGCTGCTGAAGAAGGAGAAGAAGGCCTCTTGGTGCTGCTGAAGAACGAGAAGAAGAAGGGGCCGCTTGGTGCTGTTGCTCGTTACTCTCGGGACATTTTTAGGGGGGAGGCGCTGTTACTGCTATCTATCTACATATGACGTGTGTTACCCATGGAGCCTTGACCTGCCTGGGTGGCGCCCTTGTTCTGACCCATCTGGAGCCCGATCTGTCCCTCCCTCAACTGCCTCTGCTGATCCTCGTCCCATTCCCGCTTCTGTTCGTCGGCCATCTTGGGTCCCAGAGCTGGTCCTTTGTACTCCGGGTGTTTCTGGGTCTGGTGAAGGCAATATAACATTTTACTATGATGATGTGAAACTGTATGTATGTATGCATGTGTGTATGTATGTTTGTGTATATGTATGTATGTATGTATGTATGTTTAATCTTCTATATACACCATCATTTGATTTCCTTCCTCTGACAGAATCTACTCGGCTGCAACCTCATAATGTTATATACGTGTGTGCTCTCTCTCTCTCTCTCTCTCTCTCTCTCTCTCTCTCTCTCTCTCTCTCACTATACCTTCCCTCCCCTTTACGCCCCTCCCCTCTATTATTCATTCCTATATCTATCTCACATCTTTATTCATTATTGTCATTGGTTATTTCTTGGAAGTTTAATATTTTTACATCTTAAAGTTAAAGATAAAATGAATACTTTATACATACACACTTATCTGGCATCTTCCTCACTTATACAAGGTCACTTTGGAGCCTCAAGTTGGCACGAAGTTATTTTAGGAGTTTGTGGGTTGTACAGGTGTGAGGATTAATAGCAAGTTTATACACGACTAAAATTAACAATTGTCATACCAACTGTGGGATATTAAAGTGACTCAATGTTTACAATAGAGATATTTTTTGGTTCATTATTTATATCCTTGAAGATATTTACCTTTGGCGTGACATTAGTGACCATAGAATTACTGTTATCATCACCTGTATAAATTCTCAGGCTCTAGGTTGTGTCATCCTACCCTGAAGTAATGATGTCTTGATGTCTTTATCGTGTCTTTCCTTCTCTCCAGCGACCCTTGACTTCCAACATTATTTATTCTACTTTCCTCTCACTTCATTTACCCATAGTACCATCTTTATCTAATATCCCTATACATTTTAATATTTATTTTCCTCATTTAAAGGTCTTCCTCATTCATAGTATCATGATAAGGAGGTTGAGTTTTCCTATACAACACGACAGAGCTTAACACTTGCCGCCATTTGTCTATAGTAGTGAGTGGCTTTATGGGGGTATTCTATTTCCTTACGTTGTTGTATTAAAAAAGACTTAACCCGAACGTCACCCTCAAGATCCAATAACATCTTATACTTGATCCCCCTTGTGGTTCAGATCCGATCTTCAAATAGAGTACCAAGAAGCATTTAATCCTATATACGTAATGTTTTGTTTAATTATCGTCCTTTACTGACTGTTTACATATTAAGCTCGTGTCGACGTATGTTTGTCTGGGTCGAGCTGTGTTGGGGTTAATTCTTACCATAGATATTACGATTAAATGACTGTTTGCTCCACCGTATATGACTTTTTTTATGTAAATTTAAGTAAACAATACGTGAACTTCGTTGTCCTTTTAAATTGATGTCGCTTGATTAAAAGGTGTGTGTGTGTGTGTGTGTGTGTGTGTGTGTGTGTGTGTGTGTGAAGACATTAATAGTGCTTATACCTTCATCCACTACTTAACTACCTACTTTGACTATCTCCCCCTGCCTAACTACCCACTTAACTGTACTTAACTACCCCACGTGACCGTCTGCCCCGTTTGCCTGTGTGGTGTGTGGTTTGTGGGTCAGTACTCACGATGCGGCCAAGGGAGAAGAGACAGAGAACCACTTGATGAATGTTACGTCGCTCGAACAGGTCAGCAGTCTGGAAGATCTCCTCGTGAGGGACACCGTACTTCTTGATCGCCTCCTGGAACCTGTAAGACCGATCATGGGGTTTAGGTGATAATGGTCGAGACAGAGTAGGAGGAGGAGGAGGAGGAGGAGAAGGAGTAACCTGGTGTACCGTGAGCTCCACTCCACTCCACTTCACTCCATTCCACTTCACCTTACTCACCTACATATTACCCTTCAGTCATCATTCTTCCTACTTCCATCTTGTTTCTCTCACCCTCACCTCCATCTCTCACCTTCAGATGGTAGTTCCTCACTCTGATTACCTCACACCTCAGTCTAACCATCCTGAACTTCACATTCAACACTCAGACACCTCCTCTCACACACCCCACGTCTACTCGTCATGTGCTATAGGTTGTATCAAGTATGACTCTGTATGCCCGTCTACCAGCATACACGAGTGGGATAGAGGGAGGGGGGGGGGTAGGGTGTGCAGGAAGTATATTTGTGTCTGTTTGTAATTCAGACAACTAACTAATGCTGCAAACTTGTAAGGGATCTTTTGTCAACTTATCGTTTTAATGTAATCAATATAATATACCACGATGCTTATGATGCTATTATATAATATAGAACTTGTAATAGGTGTCCAGACTATGGCTATGGACATATTAGAAATTGTGTCTCTCTCTCTGTCTGTAAGGTATCTTTCGTGTATAATTCCCACAAGACATAAAATTAAATTGGAAAAGTTATACCAACCAAAATTATTCTCATGGTAATTTCAATCATGACAACAACACCTGAGAGTTAATTAATTCGTCTCCAAGTTCAGTCGATTTTTAATTCATTGAGTTTATAGAATATTAGATCTTAATTGAAAACATTACCGGCGTTTACCTTAATAAATTAACACACTAATCACATAACATCCTGCAGCCTGTAGATCCTTCTAGGGGACTTTATATAATCATTGGACTCTCTGGGGATTGTGTAGGAACAGCTGATCCTTACCTCTGTATGTTCTCCATAAGCTTAAAGGATCCACCGGAGGTCTGGATCTTCTTGACGGAGTTGGGTTGGATCTTGTTGATGAGGTTACACAACACGACGCCGTCCTTAAACACATCCTCGAAGTTACCTGGAGGAAGCTTCTCCCCCATCACCTGCTCTACCCACGCCATCACCTCCAGTTCTAGTTCCTTGTTGCGGTTCTGGAAAGGATGAGCTGGATGTTACTACTTCCGTGTTTGTTTACAAGAGACACACACACACAAACACACACATACACCTCGTACCAGAGTCGTGTGTCCTGCAAAAACAAAAGGCGTTGGGGGAGGGGAGCAAACGTGAGTGCATGGTGGTCGTGTCCTGTAACTCTACGTGTACTGTGCGTGAACATCGGTAGGGAGAAAAAAAATATATCTCTCTACTCATCGCCAAAAGAGAAGGCAAGGAAAGAGAAAGACTTAAAAGAATCCATATGAACGAAATAGTGAAATAATTAAAGATTACTCAGTTCAAAGACACATTTGAATATGGTCGATTTGATGACAAAGCTCCACACAAAAAATACTTCCTCTCACCAAATTTACCATTCAGGTGTTGGGTGCTGTGTGGAGGCTATACCCACTACCTGTGTTCATTTCTAGTGTTTATACTATACCCACTACCTGTGTTCGTCCTGTGTTTATCATGCCTGGGTGAATCTTACTGCAAATAAGTATATGATGACATTGTGGGCTCTCCGCGGACGAGTCATTTTTCTGTTTATCATTGTTAATATACCTGCAACGTCCATCTACATTATTTATATACCTGTACTGTCTATATACATTACATACCTTCATTTCCTACATACATTACAAACTAAATTAATGTAAAATTGAAAGACGATTTTGTTTAATATCTATCTATCTAGCCATGATCAGAAGGGTTTAGTTCGTGTGAGTGTGTCCACGTGTGGCTGTGGTGGTGCTTCTTGCTCACCTGCTGTGTGATAATGAGCTGTACAGGTGAGATAGAAAAGTGGGGCACCATGTAATACATACACCTGTCCTCAAACATCCCACGTGACTTCCTCAACTCAGTCCATCCCCCCACCCCCCCACCCTCTCTCTCTCTCTCTCTCTCTCTCTCTCTCTCTCTCTCTCACCCTCACCCTCCTATACTCTCCCATTTTCATCACTTCCTTCCTCTTACTCTTCCTCATCATCTCTCTCCATGTCCCCTTCCTATACCCCCGCCCCCTTCCCTCCCCGTCAGTTTATCATATTTGAACTTCAGAGCACAGGTGTGTCAGGTGTGTGTGTCAGGTGTGTGTCTATCAGATGTATGTGTCGTCCCTCGTGAGTTTATTAGCTATTCCAGACATCTGACTCTAATATTGTTTTGTTTTCGTTTGTTTTGTGGTGAACCTATAGGTGTGGTACCGTATAGGTGTGGTACCGTATAGGTGTGGTACCGTATAGGTGTGGTACCGTATAGGTGTGGTACCGTATAGGTGTGGTACCGTATAGGTGTGGTACCGTATAGGTGTGGTGCCGTATAGGTGTGGTACCGTATAGGTGTGGTACCATATAATGAGTCTTTGAACAGTTAACTATACCACAATATCGTTCTACCACCATACTTACTCAATGTCCCAGAACCACACTACCACATCTTAAACAGTACCACACCGAGAACACACACATTGTACTACCACATAACACCACCACCACATGACCACACCATGACTATAATAAATTACACTATAACACCACACCATGACCACACCATGACTAGTACCATACATTATAATTAACACAAAACCACACCAAGGACACCACACACACTATATCAACACACCACTACACTATATACCTCACCATCACAGCCACTACACCACACCATCACAGACACCACCACCTACTACATCCCACATAGTGTTCCCTGTCTTCTCTCCCTCCTCCACACCCTGTCATTATCTGTCTCTCCCCTGGTCCTGTTCTCCTTAGTCCCTTCTTCTTGACCGCTTCCCTCACCTCTATTTATTCTCCCTTCCTGCCTCCTCTCTCTCTCTCTCTCTCTCTCTCTCTCTCTCTCTCTCTCTCTCTCTCTCTCTCTCTCTCTGGGTATTTTCTTCGTATTTTCCTAACCATTTCCTTCTTACTCTCTAGTTTATACATACATACATACATACATACATACATACATACATACATACATACATACATGCATACATCAGTCTTCATCAGTCCCGTTCCTAAAAAGTGAAGTACCTCCTCTCCTCTCCTCTCCTCTCCTCTCCTCTCTCCCCCTCCCATTTCCCTCTCTTTCTCTCCTCTCCTCTCCTCTCCTCTCCTCATCTCCACCTCTACCTGCCGACGCTCAGCAACATCTCTTTACACCCATGGTACACACGCCCCTGGCTCGGTGTACTAGACCTGGGTACACTTCAGGTGACGAGGGGAGCAGGTGTAGAGAAGGGTGTACCTGGTTGTGAGGCTGATAGGTTGGGTGTAGGGTGTTTTAACGGGGTGATGGGAGGGAATATTTATATCTACACTCCCATTCCATCTTTCTTTCCCATTCTTTTAGTCTTTTGTCTTTTTTTTCTCTCCTTCTCTTCTTCCCTTCCTGTTTCCTTCCTTCCTTCCTTCTTTTCTTCTTTTCTTCCTTCCATTCTCTATTCCTACGTTTTTTTCTTCCTTCACCATTTCCTTTATATACTCTCTCCCTCTCTTCTCCTCTTTATTCCTTCGTAACCAGCCATCTCTCTCCCTCCATCATCCTCCCTCTTCCTTCTTCTCTTCCTTCATATCCTCCTTCAATTCTCCTCTCCTCTTCCTCCTCCACAACTCCCTCCCCTCCCTCCCTCTACCACCAGCACCAGAGAAGCTACATTCATAAATAACTTTTTTTCCTTCCTCTTCTTTCATTTATTTATTGCCTCTTCTCTCTCCTGATCTCTCGTAACTCTTCACTACCGTCGTCAAGATGTCCACGTACGGGAGGTTACGTTGCTCATGACGTACGGGAGGCTCTTACGTTATCCCTGACGTACGGGAGGCTCATACGTCAACTACAACACTTTTGGCGGGTTTTTTTTAATACACAGTTGAATACGGATTTAAGACACGCGTTCGTCTTTAGCTTGTCGGATTCATCTGGATTTTAGTATTTACATAATCCGGATTTGGACGCTTACACTACGATTATTATTGTTGTTATTGGCTTATTCGATGTGGTTGTAGTGTGAGGAGGAAGACAGACAGGGAAAACAGATAGACACACAAACAGACAGACAGTAGAGGGAGCTAAACCTTTGAGAGGATGATAAAAATACCGACGTGGATATGAGACGAGATAACTGAGTTCCATCTATCAGGGAAAGATACCGCCTTATCCACCTACCTACCCAACCAGTAAATGGGTGGATGGGTGGATGGGTGGGTGGGTGGAAGCGGATGATGGACATGGATAGCAGTATTTGTGAAAGGTGAATAGGTAGGTGGGTGGATGAGAAGGCGGATGGGTGGATGAGTAAGTGGATAGGTGGGTTGGTTGGTGGGCGCTTTGATGTGTGTGTGTGTGTGTGTGTAGGGGTGAATGGTGATGAGTGTGTGCGTGACAAGCATGCATGGTTGACGTGTGTGTGTGTGTGTGTGGGTGGGGGTGAGAGGGGGTAGTGAGAGAGTAGGGAGGGGTGTAGACGAGAGGCGACAGTTTTAGCTCTCAATACATTTCCCTCCTCACCCCTGGAGACAGAGGTGAGGGCAGGTGAGAGTCGGGGGGTGGGGGGAGGGGAGTAGGCGGACAAGTGAGAGCTAGAGATAAGTAAGGGGGCTGTCAGGAGGGGGGAGGGGGCTTAAGAGGTCTCTAAGAGGTGTATGTATGTATGTATGTATGTATGTGTGTATGTATGTATGTATGTATGTGTGTATGTATGTAATTGGTAGTAAGTGAACGAGTCATTAAGATACCTAAGGGCGTGTGAATATAGTATTAAAGTAGCAGAGAATGTTTGGTAAAGTAGCAAGTATGGAAGAGTGTATGTAAGTGTTGATTACAGTCAGGATTTTAAAGTAGGCAATAAGATTTAAGTAGAAAAAGTAGCAGCGGCACAAATGTAAAATATGGAAAAGTAACAGAATCAGTGTACCCCCCCAAAAAAGTAACAAAAAGTAACAATGAACAAGAAACATGACACCTGAACACCTGAAGATGCCTGTTGTAATTATCAGGTAGAGAAGGGGAGTAGTCAAGAGAAGGGTTCCAGCACAGGTAAAGGAGTGGGGTGATGATGGTGATGATGGTGATGATGGTGATGATGGTGATGGTGGTGGGTGTATAAGGGTGTGATGAATAAGTGGATAAGAGGAAGTAGAATAAGAGGGGAGTGAAGAATTAATGGGAGGAAGAGAAGGAGGAGGAAGAGGAGGTGAAGAAGGAAGAGGGTCGTTTTCTCTCTCTCTCTCTCTCTCTCTCTCTCTCTCTCTCTCTCTCTCTCTCTCTCTCTCATATAGACACGCAAGTGGGTTTTCTTTCACAGGTGTAAGGGTAAAGTTTATTATCTTGTCCTAAGTTAACTTTGACCTCAGCTAACCTTGACGATATCAGACCCAACTTCACGTATCCTAACCTAACCTAAACTAACCCTCAATGGCAACTAGTAATTGGTCAATGAAAAATGCATATACAGTACCTAATTTGACAGCTGAGGAAGTGAAAGGTGATCGAGTTCAGTGCCGATATAGTTCTTTAATCTATTGTACTGTTTCCACTTTCACGGCGGTAATCCATATAAAATATTATTGTTTACATCCTACTAACAGCTGATGACTTCCGGTATTTCATTAATCACTGAATAACATCGTAAAAAAAATATCGTATCATTCTTGTGTGTCAAATAAACATCTTCATATTAATAAAAATCTTCATAAAACTTAACGTAAACAAAACCTATAATGTTTATCATCTTCTATATAAACACAAGAACGACTCTGGTTTGTGATCTGTTTGTTTACCTGGCTCGGTTCCTCCATCTTCTAATACTCACTTCCATTCCTCCCATACCCTTCCCTTATCCTTTCCTTATCTTAACCGTTCCACTCGTTTCCCCATCTGTACCTTTATCCTCCCCATGTCCTCCCATACCCTCACATAAATCACCTCCACCCCTCCCATACCCTCCCATATCCTCTTCGCTAGAATCGGACTTTCCCATTTCAGTAAAGAGTAAACTCTGTCGGGCGTCGGGGATTGGCTAAACTTGGCAGCGTCTTCACCAGCGGTTGCCAAAGAGGAAATGAACGCAACCCTCTAAAAACTGGAGGAGGTGGAGGAGGAGGAGAGGGGGGGTTGGGAGGGGAGAAGGGGGAGGCAGAGGAGGAAGAAGAATAGGAAGAAGAAGAGGAAGAGGAGGGAGAGACTGGTTGGCACTTGTCACCCTGCATATGTAACTTTTCTGGAAGAGCTCTCTGTGATGGTTGTGAAAAAAGAGTGTGTGAGAATATGGTGGTTAGCAACGTTTATGAAGGCATCACTTGGCGGCGCCGTGTGGCCTTGTCAAGCTCAAACATAAACACTGAGCAGGTGGTCTTTACTGACGGGAAACAATGCGCGGGTAACATTTGATAACTATAGACGGGAAGTAGTGGACAGGAGATAATGTGCAGTAAATACTATAGGAGATAACACTCAGGAATATTGACGAGAGATAATACATATTAAATATCATGATGATAATACACAGAAAAAAAAATAATAATAAGGAGCAGATTATACAAGTGTGGAAGTCAAACCGCTGGAAATGTTGTCGGGAGAAATAATACGCGGGAAGTCGGCTACTAGAGAGAGAGGCAATGTACGAGAAATATTGCCGGTAAACACCTCATATACAAAAGATGATAAACAATGTAAATCAAAGTTGCCGAGTTGTTTAAACAGATTGAAGTATAATAATTCCGGGTTGTAAATTTATCACCCAGGAGACTATTTATAACCCCGGCATTCCAAGGTCTTCAACACCCCCTGCTTACATTGCGTAACAACCTTATGGAACGTGTGGTGTTTTGTTTGCTAATCTATTCGGATGCTTTTGTCAACACACACACAAACTATCGATATCTTTCCAGCTGTACGCGTGAGAGTAAGGAATATGTTCGTATACAAAATAAACAGCCACAGCCAGACCTGAGATCTCGTGAATGTTCGTCAGGCACAGGTTCCACAATCGAGTTATTACAGGTGAAGAACGTCCGGCTATTGATTGTTGCTTTACGGTACGAGTCTTAGTGAGTACTGTATGTGTAAGAGTCTACCGTATTGATCGACTACCTCATCTATCGTTGTACCTTTGCCTACTTACTACCTCAGCCAATGTGTACAGTCTGTGAGTGAACCTGTATCTCTGTTATGTATCACTGTACCTCTGTTTGTTACAGTATGAATCACTGTATAGTTGTGTTGTTGAGTCACCAGCAACTACGTGGGTGTTATTTACAGGAAGTGTCTTGTCACACACGACAACTTCCTGTTAGTCAGCAGTGTGGCGCCAGTACCTAAGTGCGTCAGGTTATTACGGTCGCTCCCTCCTACACCACACCTTTATTATGACTCCTAATGTATATGTATATTTAGTTTGTGTGTGTGTGTGTGTGTGTGTGTGTGTGTGTGTGTCTATTCTATATATAGTGACAACAAATAATACATCATATCATCTATTACTTAACGCCATCCAACAGTCCCAGCTAAACACCCGCCTCACCCACTCAAAACAAAGGTTACCATATCCCTGTAGTCCAGTGCACACCTGTGTCCTGACCACGGTGGCTGCTGGTAGTACCTGTTATGATAAATTCGTATAATGTTTTATGAAGTGACTGTACTTGTGTTATACCTGTGTCACGTGATCACAGTTTCAGGTCGGTAGTTTAAGGTTAATCATTCTACGCTTTCCAAATAGAGTATAGAAAGTGGTACGATTTAGAGAAATGTGCCATAATTACCCTCAAACTACAGAACTACAGCTGTAAGGAGTACAGGTGTGCCCCTCATCAACACACATGATACAAATTTGCCTGCTCTGGTGGTACCGTTGGGGGAGGGTGGGGGACCAGGTATACATTAATGTTTCAAGACGCAGTGTAGCTCTCGACGACCTGCGTGCACACACCTCACAATGTCTCTCATATTCGAGACACTCATCAGTACACATTAGACAAGATAGCTGCAGCAGGTGACAGGAGCAGAAGATAGCTGCCTCCCAAGGCCACACTGTGGTGGTCACGAGAGGCGTGTTTCCAGGGTGTCTGGTGTGAGGGCAGATACTGTCAGTGTGAGGCTATTACGTCCCATTTGGTTGTGCGGCAACTTCGTTGTTTATTAGGTGGTGTTATGGCATGCCACTTGTGTACTGATGATGTCAAGTATGACAGGCAGCGTCAGGGTCTGTCATCGACATGGTGACGGTCAAGGTAGTGAGTGACTCTGGTGTTTCTGTGGACGCTTCACTTGGTTGGTTCTCACGTCAGTATCACAGACTGGCAGAGTGTGACTTACCGGCATACTTGTGGGTGTTGGTGAAGGGACGAAGATACACTCTGGTCACCACCACGACGTGCTCGTGACTGACTCCGGTAGAGGATGTGGTAGAGGGCACCAACAGTGGTGGGAGGGGGCAGGTGAGTGCCACGGGCGGCCCGCTATGGTGCCAGGGCCGTTTAAGAGGTTGAGTTGGAGTGGATGGGTGGGTGGGGTGGGAGGGGGCGGTGAGTGCCACAGTGCCACGCCCGTCATCACACGTGCCACGGTCTCTACCCACCATCACCTCCACCACTACCACCACCTCCACCACTAACACCGCCTCCACCACTACCACCACCTCCACCACTAACACCACCTCCATCACCGCCACCACCCCCATCACTACCACCAATTTCACCATCACCACCACCACCCCCATCACTACCACCAATTTCACCATCACCAACCACCAACATTGCCTCCATCACCACCACCATCACTATATCCACCATGACCACCACCAACATTGCCTCCATCACCACCACCATCACCACCACCATCACTATATCCACCATCACCACCACCAACATTGCCTCCATCACCACCAACATCACCACCACCATCTATATCCACCATCACCACCAACATTGTCTCCACCACACACACACACACACACACACACACACAGTATGTTCACTTAACCATGCTGGCTCTCAAGTTTTAATCTTTTATCACTACTTTGTAAGTGCTAGAAATAATAATCTGGAGAAGACAGTCAAACACTTGAGTCATCCACCCACTCCCTTCCACCTCTCTCCCCCCAACACTTGTACCAGATTATTATTTCCAACGTAAATAAAAATAGACATCTTCAGCTCATTTATCAAGTCGTCTCTTTTGTAACCTTTTTTTTTTTTTGTTCTTCAGTGATAGTAAGTCATCATTCAACATATTGCTCAGTGGCGGAGGTTTTTTAATGGTTCTGGCACGGCGGCACACCTCAACGACACTGCCTCTACATCCTCATCCTCATTTGTATCTTACCTCCCTCTTTTCTCTCACCCTCCCCCCTTCCTTCCTCCCTTCCTTACTCCCTCCTTTATCAAGCCTTTTTCCCCAACGGCTTCCCTGAGGTACACCAACACCACCACACTACCACAAACATCTTGGTGTCCTGTGCGGTGGTTTATGATCACAGTGTATCAACAGTTTGTACCATCTACCCTCAGTGGAGACACAACAACCTGCTGCCCTCCGCTGTCACCTCCTTTCACTCCGTCGCCAACTTGGAGGTGACCTTGCACTGGGATTTCCCGAGAACTTCACACACACACACACACACACACACACACATACATCTGTTGGAAACTCACAGGTTAATTTCCTTGTCGAAAATTGTTTGACTGATTTAAGACATAATTGAACTACAGCGTATCCCAATTTTTGGATCAATCTGACGTTAAATGTGTGATTTTTCTACCACGTAAACATTTAGCCGATCGCTGTTGTGGGGGGGCTAAGATGGCCCTTAAATGGTCGTTCTGTTGAATAGGAATTAAAATATAGATCGCTGAGGTTCGATTAAAAAAGATTTGGCATTTGCGTGTTCTGAAGTGTTCGTTTTAGAAGCAGGTAATTCGATAATCCTAAATTGAGTGATTTGTTCGTGTGTTGTTTTATGTCGTCAGGACGTAGTAGTGACAAGAGACAGTCGTGCTCTCATAAGATGGCCGACGTAACCTTCCCACAATGTTTTGACTTAGTATTATATCTCCTTCCTGTTGCGTTTAGAATGGTGTTTGTCAGTGCTCTCTCTCTCTCTCTCTCTCTCTCTCTCTCTCTCTCTCTCTCTCTCTCTCTCTCTCTCTCTCAAATAACGTACCCTAAGTCACCTCCATGCCATCATACCACTTGTACAACCAACCACAGCTGTACATTCACCTCACCACACCTGGGTGACGTGAGAGATACACCTGTGCCAGACACACACACACACACACACAGACAACAATCTAAACTTACATTACACAACAGTATTTGCTCTTCCGAATCATAGGTGCACACACACACACACACACACACACACACACACACACACACCAACGTCTGTATGAGTGTTTGTAGCTCATAATTAAAAACAAATTAACTACCACATTATGTTTGGTTATTTATATCTAATATTTACTGGTAATTACAAGGAGTCCCCGTAAAGTAAGGGCAGTGTGGATACAGTACACTGAATGCTAAGCCTCAGTATGCCTGGCACAACACTTTACCTCCTTCACTTCCCCAGCTGCAAGGTTAAGCACTCATTCACAGCTGACTGGGGGATTTAGGATCGAACCAATGAACCTTAAGGCAGAAGGCAAGTCACTGTATCCACTCAGCTAACGCCCTTTGACAACTTACTGTGTGCAATGATTTTCTTGGCCTATTATTATTATTATTATTATTATTATTATTATTATTATTATTATTATTATTTTTATTATTATTATTATTATTATTATTATTATTATTATTATTATTATTATTATTATTATTATTATTATTATTATTATTATTATTATTATTATTATTATTATTATTATTATTATTATTATTATTATGGTCACCCCTACATTCCTCTTAAGGTCACCATACTAGAAGGGGTGTCAGCGGAAAGTACTACTGATCTAGCCTGATAAAGATATATAGAACCTCAGCTATAGATGGACAGTACTTGGTCACAGCTTATTTCCATCCTCAAGTTGATTTAATAGTTATTTGTCATTGTTTCATTTCTATATTTTCTAGAGCCTCATACAGTTAAATAATTAGTATAGATATTTCAGTTATATTCTCTCTATATCTCCAGCAAGATTTAATTTAGTTATTAGCTGTTATAGAGCTTTCGTAGTCGTTGGTCTGGGTTTTTTTCGTAGGCTTTAGTTTTGTAGAGTTCAATATTTTCATTTTGTTCTCTGTTCTATCACTGTTTGATTCATTAATTTATTGTATATGATTTTGTTTGATAGCTTTTGTTTATAGTCTATTTGTTTAATATTTATTCCTGTAGTTTTTATATATTGTTTGTAGCCTTTTGTTTCTGTAGTTATTTGTTTGAGACTATTACATAAAACAATGAGTATCAAGAATCACCCTATGGAACGCCGATATCTAATGCTGAAACCTTGATCTGTCCATAACGACCTACAGTAACTGAGCATCTGGGTGCGTCAAGACTGTTTTTGTGAGACTCTTGTATTGTTCGTGTTCAAATCCCGTAATAAATAATGACATGCAAGATTATTTGGGTTAATTTCATACATTGTTTTCTCAAGGACCATTAAATACTTGGATTGGTACTTGTATGTGTATTTGTACCATTCCACCTTTCCCACCACACCTCTCCTTCGCCTCTTCCTTACCTCTCCCACATTTCACCAACACCTCTCCCATGCTTCTTCCACACTTCTCCCACACCTTTCTCACGCCTTTCCCACACCCTGGTAACAAATCCTACTGCTGTAAGATTTAAGTTACACGGTCGATTTTGTATCTTTCTTGACTGCTGTAATATATGGAATGCATTTGGTTTTATTTATATATTTAAAACTATATACATTATCTTTCCCTCTTATTCGTTAAACACAGTCTTGGTGACGCACTTACAGGCTTCATTAATAAGCCTATAAATCTGGAGTGATGAAGGCAGCGTTGTCGCAAAATAGTGTCGCAAGAATACCATCCACTGCCAAATACAGCCCAGAGCCCCTCAGAGACTGTACACCCACACACCTCAGTAGGCACAACTATGAGTGGCTAAATGAGTGTTCGTGAATCTAGGACGAGGAGAAGTCCCCCAACAGAGTTCTCTCTGTGCACTCTTTTGACTTACAATGCAACAGCCCACACGAACGTCTACAAATGTTGGTGGCTGCTGACAGGACAGATGGCGCAGCGAGATACCGTGTGACAAGCAATGAACTATCCTTGCATCAGGAATAATTAGCAGAGGCGGATCCCGTTGTGTTAAATATGACATCTGCTGTTAATGTTTATAAAATTTCCCGATACTAGAGGGATGGGAACGCTGTAGTAAACATTAATATGAACGGCTACAAATGAAGATGACGTAAGGAGGGGGCGGAGCTCCTGTAGCAATATAACTTATGGATATTTACAAATACACATGACGTCAGAGGGGCGGAGCTTACATAAGAAGTCTCACCTGTGAACGGCTACAAATATTCGTGAGGGGGTGGAGCTTGGCGCCAAATCATTGTAAACAAACACCTCGCGTGTTAATGGCCTTTGTGTTTGCTGTTAAATCACAGATGAGTTTACCGACTGAGTAGCTTATGGAAGCGAGGGCTTTAATGGCCACTCTGTATATTGAAAAAACAGTGATAGATCTATAACATGCAGCTGAGACATTTGTAAACAGATGAAGACGACCAACCTTTCAAAAATATACCAGCCTCCAAATCCACCCTCATTAGTTTTGGCGAAATTAGCTTTATTTGTGAGTCTGTCGAGAGTCTCTTCTGAAGTGTGGGCCGTCCCAACATTTTCACCTGTTTCTTGTTTACCTCCTCGTGTGATGGTGTCCGAGGGAATAAACGTAATAATAATAATAATAATGTTAGCGCGTGTGAGGAGGAAAGCACGTTGATCACCCTTGATTAGTCTCACCTGCTGCCCTGTCTCCCTAATAGTTTGTTTATCTTCGACATTAAATTTTCCTTAACTTAACAACTATTTAACGGATGCTATTTTCTCTTATTAAAAGGATGAAAATCTAGTTAGTAATTAATTTTGTATGATTAGTAAATAAACATAAGTACTACAGTTTACAGAAGGGGAATGAGTAGCAAAAAGAGAGAAAGAGGAAAGTCGTTAAGAGATACTGCAATAAGTATAGGTGATTGATGGGGAGGGGGGAATAGGGGAAGGGGAGGAAGGGGTAGGAGAGGTAAAGGGGAGTGAAGGGGGAGAGAGGAGGGCGGATTGTGGGGAGAGGGAGGTAGAAGCCACTGAGCTACTGATAAAAAAAAATCTATTACTAACACACCTCGAGATTACTTTATCTGCCCAGGTGATGTAATGATGTATTGTGAGTCATGCTTTATTGGTTCTCACCTGTACTGCCCGCCACTATCACCATCACTACTATCATTACCACCACCAGTACCACCACTACTACTACT